CACACACACCAGAATCTTGCAACTATCTTTTTACGTGGCTGTCACTACCACATTAAAAGGACTTAGCATAGTTAATCTTGTACCCTGAACACTAGGTTACATACCTGCTACATAGTGGGCCCGACATGTTTTCAGACAAGCAAATATATGAAATGAATCAATCCACACTCATCAATGGGAAATTGATAACCAGGCTTGATGGCACACGCCTGTAATTCCAGGTACTCAGGAGCCTGAGGCAGGAGGATCTCAATTTCAAGGCTATAGAGTAAGTTCAAGGATAACCCAGGCAACTTAGTGAGACCCTGTCTCAAAACAAAAGGTAAAATAGGCCTTCGGGTATAGGTCAGTAGAGCAATGCCTGCTAATATATGTAAGATTTGAGGTGAGTGGTGATGGGTGATGGGGGTTGTCCTTCTGTGTATGTTTCTCTTATTGGTTGATGAATAAAACACTGATTGGTCAGTAACCAGGCAGAAAGTATAGGCGGGGCTACTAGACGAGGAGAATCTGGGAGAGGATGCAGGGAGGAGCCACCAGGGAGACGCCATGTAGCCGACAAATGAGTAACAAGTTAGGACGTTCTCCGGTAAGCCAAGACCATGTGGAAATACATAGATTAATAAAAACTGGTTAAGAGAGAGCTAGCTAGTAAGAAGCCCAAGCCATTGGCCAAACAGTTGGTAATTAATATAAGCCTCTGTGTGTTTATTTTGGTCTAACTGGCTGTGGGACCATGCAGAAAAGGAAACTTTGTCTATAGCTGGATTCCCAGCACCCTAAAAAAAGACCCAAAAAATGGATACTAGAGCACCTTAAGGTGCTACAAGACCTTGCCAATCCCAAAACTTTTCCATCAGCCTTCCAAGTTCTTACCTCACCTATCACTAATGTAATAATAGCAATTGCTGAGTGAGCAGTGCCAAGTTCTTGTCTAAGCACCCCCCCACCCCCAGACACGATTTCAATTAATCCTCTCTACAGCTAACTCACAGAAGTAAGGCTAAGTGCTATGCCTTCATCCTGCAATGAGGGAACTGAGGCCCGGGGAAATCAATATGTTTCTCAAAGGCACACGAGAAAGTGGAGATGGGATTTTAAGGCAAGTAAGGGAATCCCCCAGCTCCTTCCATGATACCCTGATCACCACTAGTCACTTCCTTAAAGTGCTAGCAACAGGGTGAGAGGCAAGAAGACAAGAGCACCTCAGTTTTCTCATGTCTGGCTTCTGTCTGAAGATGCTGGATCAATGGGTCTGTCATGGCTGACAGACCGGAAGAGAAGTTATGCATTTGCTGTCTCCAAAGCAGTACATTTGGCCATTGTTCACTAATGCATTGTCTCAGCTTCTCTCGGAGAAACAGAATCAAAGAGCCTGAGACAGCAGGAACTTCAAGTGCTCTCACTGGCCTTGGACAGCATTTGTCCTCTGAAACCCAAAGAAGGGAAGTGATGCCCAAATCAAAAGGCCGGATCCTGAACACAGCTCTCTAGACTGTAAATACAGGTTTTCTCCAAGGTATCCCCAGGCTTTATCACTGGCTGGCACTTAGGGTAAGAAAAGACAAGGGATAGAGTGCCAGTAGAGGGGCTTCTGGGACAAGTAAGGCCTCTGGGAACTAAGCAGTCAAGACCATTAGGACCTATTCTGTAGCAGACAGCACAAAAGGGGACAGAACCAACTCTGCCCTAACTAGCCACAAGAACATGAGCAAATGCATCTCCACCATTTTCTTGACTGCCTTAGCTGGGACAAACATTGTGGGGCCCAGTTTTGAGGCCACTTTGGGTAAAACAGTGAGACTGTTGTCTAAAAATAGACATAAAAAAATGGGAAAGAACCAACCCCCCCCCCGAAAAGAATATACTAACATAAAAACAGCTATTGTGATGCTATCTCACTTGTCAACTTGATGAGACCTAGGATTTCCTGGGAGATGGCTGTAGGCATGCCTATAGAGTAGTAACTTGATTGGGTTAACTGAGATGGAAAATCCTGTCCACTGTGAGCGACACCATTCCCTAGGCTGGGATTCTGAACTGCATAAGAAGGAAAAAATGAACTGATCACCGGCCATCATTGTTTCTGATTTTTGACGGTAGGTACAGTGTCATCTGCTTCAAGCTCCTGAAGCTGTGACTTCCCCACACTGACGGGCTGTAACCTCAGACTGTGAACTTTTACCCTTTAAGTTGCCTTTACTGGAGTATTTTATCATAGCAACAGGAATAGTAACAAAGATAGCTATACAGATCAACAGAAAAGAGTTAGAAGCCTATAAAATAATGGGCTTTGTTACTTTTTAATGTATTTTTATGACATTTATGGTCAGTTAACTTATGAGAGGGTGCAAGTTTGTGTAGATGTACATGTGTGTGCAGGGACACACACGTGTTCACATTGATGTGGAGGCCTGAGGTCAATGTCAGGTGTCTTCTTCAGTCATTTTCCACCTTATTTTTGAAGTTCATTACATTTATGCATTTTTCTGGTGGGCGGGGCATGCCATGGCAGGCATGTATGTACATGTGAAGGTCATGTCACGGCAAGCCTGTGTGTACATGAGAAGGTCATGCCATGGCAAGCATGTATGTACATGAGAAGGTCATGCCATGGCAAGCATGTGTGCACATGGAGGTCAAAGAACAACTGGTTGGAATCAGTTCTCTCCTTCCACCACATGGGTCCCAAAGATCAAACCCAGGCCATCAAATTTGACAAGAGCTGCTACCCACTGAGACACCTTGTGAGCTCTCCAACTCCTTTTTGAGACAGGGTCACTTACTGAAGCTGGAACTCACCACCCATTGGCTAGGCTGCCTCGCTCCAGGGGTCTGTCTCTGTCTCCATCTCCCAACCCCACCCTCAATACTGGGTCAACAGACAAAATCTGCTGCAGCTGGCTTTCCCTGGGTGCTGGAGAGCTGAGCTCAGATCCCTGTGCCTGGCAAGCCCTTTACCCAGCCAGCCACCTCCCCAGTCCCTTAGTCAACTTTTACAAGTGCACCATGACCAGATGATAACAGTGACATAACAGTCTTTTCAACAAATAGTGACAGGATATCTGGATATTAGTAGAATGGAGTTGGAACGCTCCCTCACACCATATATAAAAACTACTTCAAAGTAAACCAAACATCTAAGTGTAAGAGTCAGAAATACCAGCCTATTAGAAGGGAAATCATGGCTCAAATAAAGCAACAGCCTTAAAGCTATCAAACCAAAACTATGAACAACAACATCTGCACTTTAAAGGACATCATTGGAAAAATACAGATTTCCAACTCATAGAATGTTTTTTTTTTTTTGGCAAAACATTCATATGAAAACTGACATACATCCAGAATATGAAACTAACTCAAACTTACACCTGAATAACCAATAGGGAAATAAACTAATTTAAAAAGGGATTTCAAAACATACCTTCCTAAATAAGACACTGAAGTGGCCATTAATCGCAGGACACAATGCTCATAACTGTCACAGAAATTCCAAGTCCTCAGCTGTCACCTCGGACCCACTGCAATACCTACGAACAAAGTCATATCTACCAACAAATATTAGGGAGAAACTGGAGAACTTGGAAAAGAGCAATCCCACTCCTACATCCAACCCAACATATGAAGACACACATCACACAGACACCCGTGCTGTCTGCGAAGTTAACAAATGGCAAGCAGTGCTCATTATAGACAAAGGCCAGGATGAAACACTATTGTCCAAAAGAAAAGGAATAAAATACTTAGTTGCATTACAACACAGATAAACTGCAAATCGTTGCATAAGGCAGTGTGACCCACATACCTAGAATTGCAGCACTTAGGAGATAGAGGCAAGACAACCAGGATTTCAGTCTAGCCTGGGCTACAAGAGTCAAAAACTCAAAAATAGGATGGGGAGATGGCTTAGTGGGTAAAGTTTTCTGCCTTAGAAGCAGGTCCTAGGTCTCCAAAACCCACATTACAAAATAAATTAGAAAAGGAAAACAAAGCTAGGTGTGAGGACACACACTTGTAATCCCAAGAAAACCTCTCTGGGGCCGACTGGCCAGCTAGCCTAGCCTCCTAGGTGAGCTCCAGGGCACTGAGACCCTGAATTTAAAGAAGTTGGATGGTACCTGAGGAAAGGCACCTGAAGTTGTCTTTTGGCCTCTGAGTGCACGCGCACACACACACACACACACGCACACGCCGCACACGCACACGCACACGCACACGCACACGCACACGCACACGCACACGCACACGCACACGCACACGCACACGCACACGCACACGCACACGCACACGCACACGCACACGCACACGCACACGCACACGCACACGCATGCACACACACACACAAATAATAGTAATAATAATTTTTGTTTGTTTTGTTTTTTGAGACAGGGTTTCTCTGTGGCTTTGGAGACTGTCCTGGAACTAGCTCTTGTAGGCCAGGTTGGTCTTGAACTCCCAGAGATCCACCTGCCTCTGCCTCCCGAGTACTGGGACTAAAGGCGTGCGCCACCACTGCCCTGCTAAATAATAGTAATTTTTAAGAGGACATAGAACTGTTTGTAGCAATGGAGATGGTGGTGAAAACCACCCAGGGGCTGGGGCGCAGCTCAGTGAAAGGATGCATCCTTAGCAAGCACAAGCAACCTCCCCCAGAGAGGGAGAGAGAGCCCTCAACGCTGGCTGGTTGCTCCGTGCTTCCTGCTCTCCCATCTCAGGCCTGGTCAGCGTGTGCTATTCTGGAAAGAACTAAGTCTCCGCTACCTTCTGGTCTCTAGATCAGGAGCCAGAGTCACCGGAGCTCTGCCACCCAAAAGCAAGCGACACAGTTAGAGCCAAGCACTGACAGGCAAAGGAGGAGCAAGGCTGAGTGGTTGCCATGCCAACCACTCATTCTCCCCCCGCCCCAGAGATAAAAAGAATAGGAAACTCAGGAGTTGTGTGATTCATAAATTGCAAAGAGCATGTGTGCTTGAACTAAAATAGCTCAAAAGTGAGGGAGGCAATGTGGAGACAATGTCAGACACAAGCCGGGGCCCTGGGTACTCCCGAGCAGCTCGTTAGCATCACCTCAGCAGAGCAAAGTCTGCCTACCCGCTCTCCACTAAAATCCCAATAAAGTCACCCGTATCAGTAACACAGCCGCGCAGGCCAGGCCTTACCCATCTACTCTACTTTTCGAAGACAGCCTTTGAATACCTTGGGACCTGATGTTGCCTCTCAATACCACAAGAACACAAGCTTCCCCGAGGGGCAAAGCTTGGATTATCTTACCCACTGCCCTACATCTGCAACCAAACACAGTGCTACTGTTTGTCAAACTTTCAGTGACAGAAGGCTCATGGGCCAGACCTTAGCAGAAGCTAATGCATCATTACCACTGTCTTCCAGGTTGCTGAATCCACTCTCTTTCCAGGAACTGATCTTATAGACACAATCACCATGGTGCACATGTATTTAATAAATACACCACGTGTGCTGTCACTGTTCTGGGCACTTTATTCACTAACACTCTTAACAACCCAGCAAGACTGGTATTATTATTATTATTATTATTAGCCTCTGTTTGACAAAAGTGAGATCAGGGAGATTGAGTTGCCCCCAGCCACATGGTCAGTATGTCCTAAAACCAATACTGGTACCAGAGTCTGTGCTTGTGAGAGGGACAGGTTGATAGAAAGTAACTGCTGAGAGTGGGGTTTTACATGAGTCATTAGGAAATAGCAATATCCCTCAGCAGGAAACTGGCTTTTATTTTAAATATGCCGAAAGTGGACACTACCTATCCATTTGATTGACGTTAAGAATAGTGACACAGGAAAAAAAAAATTGTTCAAGGACAGAACTAAGAGAGAAGTCAGGTCTGTAAATATACTAAAGAAGATGAAGTGATCCCCTGCAGCCCAGCAACAGGTCACCAACAAACACATATGTGGCTTTAAAACAATTAACCTTACTTTTCTTTTATGTATATGAGTGTTGCAACCAGATGAAAGTCTGTGTACAGTGTGCGTGCGGTGCCTGTAGAAGTCAGAAGAGGGTGTCAGGCACCCTGAAACTGGAATTACAGGTGGTTGTGAGCAGTTGTATGGGTGCTTGGATTTGAACCCTGGTCCTCTGCAAGAACAGCCAGTGCTCTAAACCACTGAGCCATCGCTATATTTGATTTTTTGATCATTCACATCTTCTAAATGTTTCAGAGAGGAACACGAAGACAGAGGGCAGAAGCAACTCATGCGTAAACCTGAACTAAAAACTTCAAATATAAACAGAAGGTGGTCTGTTTGAACAAAGCAGGAAGGGAAAGGACAATCTTACTCATTTAAATCTCAGTGAAGGACTGTGGCGCTCAGACCGGTGTTTTCCCAAACACTAGCCTGAGCCTCAGCCAAGCATGTGTGGAAAATGCTCAGTCTGGCTCAGCAGAGCTTTGACACAGCCTATGTACATGTCAGGCCTGAGGACAAGACTCTGTTTTCCCAGTGTCTAGAAGGAGCTAGCATTCATCCCTTGGATGTCCGCAGTGCTGAACCCTAAAAGGGGAAGGAACAGTACGACTCCTGGGCAGTTAGACCCAAGTCAAGAAGACACTCGTGGAGAAAGACACGAAATCCAGGAACCAACAGGGCACCAGGGTGACTTCAAAATATAAAAAGAAGGGGTGTAGAAGCTGGGGTTGAGGTGGGAAAATCTGGAAGTCCATTTGTGCAGCTGCCTTCCCAAGCCAGACTCGGTCAAAGAATGGTAGAGAGAAGCTACACAATGCATGCCACCTGACACCTCTCCTCTGCCACTGTGTGTCAGTGTTCAATTATTCCAATATCGATTCTCAGGGTTATCCACAGACCTGCTCTAACCACGGATGAGTACTTCCTGTGATTAATCACTGAAATGTAGATATTAAATAATTATAAAGGGAGAGATTTCAGTTTCACTGAAAAGAGTAGATCAAGAGTGGGCCAGGAAGCCAGAATCCAGTAGGTGGTCTGTCCCAACTTCTCAGCCCCTGACGAAGCTCACCCTTCAGGGTCTGTCTGAAAGGATGCTGGAAGGGGGAAAGTACCTTCGCAGCTCATTCATGACCTTGAAGGCCTTCCCCATGTGGGCAGGGTTGACGGTGACTGTCCTCTGGCTCTGCTCTTCATCCTGGGCCTGCACCGTGGGCTGAGGGCTCAGCTTGACACTGTGAGCAGAAGAGGGAGGGAAAGAGAGATCTCGAATTAGCAAGGGCAGTCATACATCTCCCACGAGTAGATGGACTTAAGCCACCCACAAGGGGCGTCTCCATCAGCCTGTTGTCTTCACCCAAGGCAGCAGTGGAGGACATACATAGTACAGCACTTCTGCAGGACCTTCCAGTGCACAGGGCTTTTCTCTGCGGGAAGCCAGGCTCCAGCTCAGGTTCTCCCATCGGGCACTGGACTCTGTGAACAGAGGCCTTTACCCTCACTGTTCCCTCCCACCCTCCCTCCCTCCCCAAAAAGGGGGTGGTGTAAGTGCTTGTAAGTGCTCTAACACTCACTATATGGGGATATTGGTCCACTTAGCAGTTAGTGGGAGCTAATATGTGACAGGTGTTTATTTCACTTCTGGGAAACATGGTGGTAAACAAAGGCCAGTCCCTCCCATCACAAAATTCAGAGCTCGGCGAAGCAGAAAACCATGTAACAGTCAAACATCATTTTTTTAAAGATTTAATTACTCGATGGGCATTGGTGGCGCACACCTTTAATCCCAGAACTGGGGAGGCAGAGGCAGGCAGATCTCTGTGAGTTCAAGGCCAGCCTGGTCTCCAGTGTGAGTACCAAGATAGGCTCCAAAGCCACAGAGAAACCCTGTCTCGAAAAACCAAAAAAAAAAAAAAAAAAGATTTATTTACTCGTGTATTTTATGTATATGAGTGTTCTGTCTTCATGCACACCAGAAGAAGGAATCTGATTCCACTACAGATGGTTGTGAGCCACCATGTGATGGCTGGGAATCAAACTCAGATCCTCTGCAAGAGCAGCCAATGCTCTTAATCTCTGAGCCATCTCTGAGCCCCCAAACATCATGTTTTAAACATTACAATTCCATAGGAGCTACAGCAGTACAAGAGATCAATTCAGTGATGCTGGAGTAGAGAAAACTGCCTGAAGGCAGAGGCCTGACAGAGGAACATAGAGTAGCCAGTAACTTAGAAAAGCAACTGTGACCCAGACAACAGCAACAGCAGGCACAATGACCAAAGGGGAAAACACCAAGTGTGTTCTAAGTGCTGGTGGCTCAGGGAAATGAGGCCATGGGAGGAAATGTTAGAGGAATCATCCTCCTGGACCAGGGGGAGGGCAGGAATGGGTTTTAAACAGAAAGCAAATAAACACTTCTATAATCTAAAAAACCACAATGGCTGGAGTTTAGAGAACAGGGACTTGCCTGTGAAAGCTTTTGGGAAACCATAAATCCATAGCAGGACAGGTGATGGGGCTGGAGAGATGGCTCAGCAGTTAAGAGCACTGGCTGCTCTTGCAGAGGACCTGAGTTCAATTCCCAGTGTCCACATGGTGGCTCACAACTGTAACTGCAGTTCTAGAGGATCTGAGCCTGCTTCTGGCCTCCACAGTCACCATGAACACAGACACATGGTGCCCACTATGCATCCAAGCAAAACACCCATCTACATAAAACAAAGTAAAAGTATGAATTTTAAAAACAAAAATAGGAGTCTGTGGTGATTGTGGGAAACAGACTGTATGACCTGTGTGAACAGCTGCAACCAATACCTGGTGGGGGAGGTCCTTCTGCATATGTTCATCTTATTGGTTGTTGAATAAAGTACTGTTTGGCCAATGAGACAGCAAGTTAGGCAGGACTAGGAGTCGAGGAGGATTCTGGGAAATGTAGTAAAAGGAAGTCTTGTGATACAGGCAGGAAATGACATAGCAGGCAGACTCATATACAAGCAAGGGCAAGAAGGAAGTCATCCCTTTTCTCTTCCTCCTGGTCTCTGCTCTGGAGTCGCCATGTGATCCACTGTCAAGAGAGGGCGCCAGTGGGAGGTGTCCTCAATAAGATAAGTCTTATAAAATATATAGATTTATGATAATTAAGACTGAGCTAGTGGATGAGAAAAGCTAGTTATTTTCCAAGCAGCATTTGTACCTAATATAAGTCTCTATGTGTTACTTGGGACCTTAACGTGGCAGCAGACGAAACCTGGGTGGCCTAGCAGAAAGAGCCCACATGATGGCAGGGCTTTGGCGGAAAGACTTATTGTTACAAATACCCATTGTCTCAACACTGCTTGCACTAGAATGTGTTGCAATGTCATGGGACTAGGGAGGAGGGGTCAAAAGAGTGACCAAGGAAGGGCATGCTCCTGAGACAGGAACTCTAAGGTCAAACCCAGAACCTTGAAGGGAACCACTCAGGCCAGACACCACTCTGTGAGCAGGAAAACAGAAATGTTCCCATTTGTGTGGAGTTGGGGGCCTGCAGTTTACCCCAGCTCTCAGACCTCCAATGTGGTCCTTAGATTTCCCCTGTCAAGCATCCTCCATCTGTTGCCACCTCACCTTGCAGGCTGTTGGGGACAAAGATGCTTTTAAAGAGGATGTGCCAAGCCCTGGGACTCTTCAGAGAGTTCACACTGGAATTGTCTCTATTTGAAATGCCAGACCCACGGTTTGTCTGACCATCGCAGACCCCTCCTTTAGCTCCTCCCTTCCCCACCTCCCTCCCCTCCCCTCCCTTCACTTGAGCATGCCAGAGAGATCTGGGGCTGTTTGGAGTCCTTGCACAAGGAAACCAACTGAACAGAGGAAGATAAATACCAAGATGCACAAAGATTATTAGAATTAGTATTCGAGCATGTTTTTAAAAATCCCAAAGGGCTGGAGAGATGGCTCTGTGGTTAGGGCTGCTCTTTTGGAGGACCCTGGTTTGAGTCCCTGCCATGAGGCAGCCACCTGAAACTTCATTCCCAGGAGATCTGACACCCTCTTCAAGCCAGAAAACGTGGCCAGAGAGAGGAAGCGCCAGGCAAAGACAAAAAGTTTGCCGATACATCCTATTTCCTGGTAAAAGTGGAATTTTTTACTTTGATATGCAATCTCATCATTTATGAGACCCTGAATGGCATGTCACAGTGCCAAAAGGAAAATTCCCAGTGGGTTCTATTTATTGATTCTCAGTTTTCCCATTCCCGGTCATGCCACCTTAGTTCACAAGGCTTCCCGTGCATAGTGCTCTGTTTGTGTCTCTCTAGCCAATTGTGGAGGTCAGTTTACACAAATGCATTGTTTCTGTAGCTTCATAATGTCTAATTTCCGATAGTTGAGTCCTCAAGCCTTTGACTGTTCTTGAGAAATCACCTGTATATTCTATCTGGTCCCTTTATTCTTTCTACAAATCAGCTTGTCAAGTTCCATGGGAAACCCTGATAGGCCTGTGGTAGAGACAGCATTGAATTTATACATCAATTTAGATTGAACCAACACTTCTTTTAAGTTATTTCTCCTTTTCCATGAACATGGGAGATCTTCTATTTACTTACATGTAGTCCTTTAAATTTTTTATTTGTGTGTGGGGGGGGTGCCTGAGTGTACATATGTGCACCACATGCATGCAGAAGCCCACAGAGTCCATAAGAGGACTTCAGATCCACAGAACCAGTCTTACAGTTAGTTATGAGCTGCTATGTGGGTGCTGGGAACTGAACCTCAGGCCCCTGCCAGAGCAGTAAACGCCCTTAACCCCTGAGCCGTCTTTCCAACCCCGTAGGTACTTTTCTTTTTACCTTGTTTTTATTGAGCTATGCATTTTCCCAACTCCCCTTCCCTTCTTCCCTCTCCCTTTCCACCCTCACCCCTGCCCCTCACGCTCCCAATTTACTCAGGAGATCATGTCTGTTTTTCCTTCTTAGGTGGATCCATGCATGTCTCTCTTAGGGTCCTCTTTGTTACCTAGGTTCTCTGGGGTTGTGGCTTATAGGCTGGTTGTCATTTGCCTTATGTCTAACATCCAATTATGAGTCAGTACATATTATATTTGCAAATCTGGGTCTTAGTTACCTCACTCAGGTGTTTGTTTGTTTGTTTTCTTGGTTTTTTGAGACAGGGTTTTCTCTGTGTGTAGCTCTAACTGTCCTGGAACTCACTCTATAGACCAGGCTGGCTTCAAACTCACAGAGACTTATACACATTTTGTTAGATTTTACCCTAAGTATATTACAGTTTTTCTTATTATTTTATGATAGAAATTGTCCTTTTTAGCTGGGTGGTGGTGGCGCACACCTTTAGTCCCAGAGCTTGGGAGGCAGAGGCAGGGGGGGCTCTGTGGGG